GAAATCAAGTTTGGGAATCAGTCAACAGTTTCCCAATCAATGGGCATGGAAGGCGATTCCCGGAACCTGGAGAACGTGGAGTCCCCGGGACCCGGCACCTCGTATCGCAAGGTTCTGTGCACAAATTGGCCAAGTTTCAGATGATGTCCAGGTCTTCGGGGTTTCAGCACCTTCGCAGCGGCCCGCCAGGGGAGGGCTTGGGGTTTGTGACTGAAGATAAACTCACTGTTAAGAACAGCAGCATCGTAATGAGCAAGGCTGGGGCCAGCTTTGCAGTGTGCAAGAAAATGGTCCTAAACGCATTGTATGTGTAACGTGCGATCATAGACAGAAATGATTTGATTTTATGAGCCTGTCCACCGAACACTACATTGTGCAGTAAGAGTTTATAATATGAGCTAAACTTAAAATAAGTACGATATTTAATTTTTATTTTGAAGCAACCCTCCATTTACCTTTAAAGGAGAAGGTCAGGGTGGTCAGCTTTGAAAAAGGGACCTTGACTTAGGCCAGAGGAGGTGGGACAGGGAGGCCTCCTGAGGAGCTGACAGTTACGGAAAACACAGGGGTCAGTTGGTGTTGGTGGGGAAGGAGACGAGGGACTCCCTCTGCCAGAGGGAGGAGGAAATGGAGGAGGACCCCGTGCCCCAGCTCTGCCAGGCTTCCCCAGACAACCGTCAGCCTCACGGCCACAGGCTCCCCAACAAGTCGGAATGAGCTCATTGACAGTGATGACGTGTGACCAGCCAGACCTGACACAGAATCCTCGAATTATGCACACAACCCTCACAGCAGCAGCAGCAGCCACAATAATAAAGAGCTGACCTCAGAGCCCGGCTCTGCCAAGCACCTGATCTCAGTCTTGGCCTGGACTAACGCATTGCAGCCTTATACCATCCGAGGCAGCAGGTGGTATCGCTTTCCCATTGTACAGATGAGGAAACTGGGGCCCAGAAAGGCTAAGTAACCTGCCCAGAGTCACACAGCAGTCAGTGGCAGAGCCTGTAATGGTCACACTGCCCGTTCGGTTCTTCTTTCACTGGCCTCCAGACACGGACCTGTCTTGGCTGCTCAGATAGAACTCCTAAAAGAGGCGCCTGCCGCAGCGGGGAGGGAGTGTTACTCTGGCGGGTGACTTGCCAACAGCTGTTTCTGCATCTGTAGATCTCTGTGAGTGTCCAGTGAATAGCTTTTCTTAGACCCAGCCATAGTGCCCTTCAGATGTCCTTGATACAGGCATGACCATGACATATGTGCAAGGTTATTTGCGGCAGCATGACTTAACAGCAAGGGTATACGAGCAACCCAGATGCCCATCAGCACGCCTAATTAGGTCACGTGAGTGCTGGACATCTGCAGAGGGCAATGCTGCGCCGTTTTAGAGAAGAGCGGGGCGTTCTCTGTGTCTGATTCAGAATGACCGCTGCTGTGCACACAAGCCAGATGCAGAAAAGTGTGCGCAACACAGCTGTCTGCTGGGGAAAATAGAATATCGGTGCCCGCGTCTGCAAGAAATGCCAGTGCCCTCGAGATGGTTACCCGAGAACTCAGGAACAGAACAGAGAACTCAGGGGCTCCGGGTACGGGAGATGGCCCATTTCCCCACATAACTGTTCATGTTGCATTGGAGACTTTATCCTGTGTACATGTATATTAACAGATTAAGTGTGTGTGTGTGTGTGTGTGTGTGTGTGTGTAAGAAAAGATAAGACATAGAAACGGCTTGGGCTCCAACAGATGCTTCTTTAAACACGCGGGGGAGACGTTCCTTCAGCGAGCTCGCCATGAACGCAGGTGTGGGGGGCACAGTGCCCGTTTCCAGAGGGGCATCTGCCTCCATTTCAGCCAACCATCTGCTTCCCTGGAGCTCCTTCCCAGGGCAGTCCGGCCCACATTGCGATGCCACGTGTCCTCAGAGGCTGCCAGCCCGGCCAGAGCCACTTGACTGAGCCATTCTGCCACCCTCAGGCGCCTCTGAGGAGGGGCAGCGTTCACTGTGATGACAGTTCCTGTCACACTAATGTCCACAGTCATTTAACAAGCATCCCACCGGCAGCTGTCCTCACCGCCGACCTCGGTCTGTGCAGAGGGCAAGCACAGGGCTCGGTCGCTCTGCATGACACCCCGATTTGGGACAGTCCGTAACATCCCCTGTGGCCTTTGCAGCTGACCCCCCCTCTTGTCCGCACTGTGGCTCTCCTGGGAGGCCTTTGGACAGAAGTGTGAAAGCATCACTTCTAGGAAAGACGAGGTTCCACCAGGTGTCACCCGACGGGCCCTGGTTCTCCTGTGCACACAGCTGCTGCCACCCAGTAACTGGCCTCCCTGCCCAGACACGCAGTCACAGGCCCCTCAGCCCCTCGCAGCCTCATCTTATCGGACCCTGCTCCCCTGTTTCCTTAGCTTTCTGGACTCAGCGGTGATTACAAAGACGGGCATGTGCTGAGGGCTCCCCAGACATTCTACCTGCACCGGTGGAATAACCCTAAGAGGTAGGCTGCAGTAAACCAGCGTTTGCCCCGTGGAAACCAGAGTACAAAGAAAGCAGAGAACCTGGCCAACTCACACGGCTGAGGGTCGAGGGAGTGGAGACGGGGTTTAAACCTAGGCCTCAGGCACCCCAACTCCTGGCTCTTCACTAAGGGAGCCCAAGAAGTCATCACTACTGGGTCCAAGGAGGCTCTCCTCTCAGCCCGAATGTGTCCTCCAAACTCAGTAGAAGGTCATAGGCAGCCTCCACCATCGGTGAGACCATAGGCTCCATGAGGACAAGACCCAGGCCCTGGCACCCACCCACCATGGTGTATCGTACAAAGTAGAAGCTCAATTAATATTCATGGAAGGAAGGGAAGGAGGGAGGTGGGGAAGGAGGGAAGGTGACAGAGGAAGGAAGGTCACGTGGCAGAGCTTAGCCATCTCCCAGCGTTCATTTCCTTTCTCAGTGGTGTGCATGGCTGTGGCGCACCACCCAGCCTGCTCTGCAACTAGCTGTCGTCAGGTGACTAACTCTCTCCAAAGAAGCAGGAGCAGAAATGAGTGTCACTTTGGAACCAAGGCTTCTAAGATGGGGTGTGGCCCCTCCTCACCTCTCCTGCTGTCTGCACGCGGGGGGCGGCATCTTCCTAGCAAATTGCATAGCCACAGGGCGGGGCCTGGGATCCCATGTGGCTGCATCACGGAGAGTCACCTGCCATCAGGAATATTGCGTTGGCTGTTTCATGGGCAGGGAAAGCAGGGTGGGGAACGCTTCTTCCAGGCGTCCTTGGGCACAGCAGCACCCTCACCGGATCCTTTTCTCAGGAAGGGTGCCTATGGAGCCAGAACACAGCCCTCGATGGCTGTACCGTCTGCAGGGAGTCCTGGACAGGGACCTCAGAGCATCTGTTCCAGGGGCCATCTGGGGTCGGCGGTGGGAAGGGGATGAAGAGCATGTGGAATGGTCAGCTACTTGCTGGGCACTCGGAGCACACCATCTGGTTTGACCTCATCACAGCCCCAAGAAGAATGTTCTTTCATTGCTGTTGTTCCATTTTACAGATGGAAACATTGAGGCTTAGAAAGGTGAAGGGATTTTCCCAAGTGCCCAGAGGTTGGAAGGGGCAGAGTTTGAACTCGGGCTGATCTGACATATAAACACTGCATGGCCTCGCTTGCCTTAGGGAGCCCCGGATGGAACAGGCACATCTCAGCCTCTCCACATCTCCACAGAGGAGTTTGCCTGGCCTGTCTCCAGGAGCAGAGCAGCTGGCCTGGCGGGGGTGGGGTTGCAGATAGGGCAAGGCCAGGGGTCCTGCAGCTCAGGAGCCTCGGCTGCGCCAGGCCGCCCTGCAGGGTGTGCAGGCACCACTCTGACTCAGAGGCTGCTGGCCTCCGGGGCTGCTGATTCTGCAGAATAAGCGTTCATGGGCTGCCGCCTGCGTGCGGGGTGCCTGGCTTTCCTGGGAGCGGCAGAGCAAGAGGGTGTTTAAGTCCAAGTGAGAAATGCACGAGCACCCTGGTCCCCTCCCCACCCCCCGCAACTGCAAGGTAAAGGGCCGAGAGAAGACTCACAGGCACTGAGCTCTCCTGGTAAGCCACAGACTTCCAGGCTCACCTGCCTGCCCCCCCTCTGCCCCCATCCTAGCAGCACCCTCAAAGCCTGTGCGTTACAACAGGCGCTCCCTCATACAGGCTTTGTAAGAACTGAGCTAATGCATGGAAAGTACTTAGTGCAAACCCAGAACTCAGTTTATTTTTATAATCAGGGGACTGGGCTTTCTCTCCCAGCTCCAACCCCTGGGCCGGGAGGGAGAGCGTGCTGCTCAGACTATGGCCCAAGGACCCAGTCCTAACCTCGGCTGTGTTTGGAGTAGTTTTACGGCCACAGCCACACCCCATGTTTACTGCTTGCCTGTGACTGTCACCTGCTACCACAGCAGAATCAGGTAGTTGTGACAAGACCACGTGGCTCTCAAAGCCGACAAAGTTTACTCCCTGGCCAGTGACAAAAGAGGCTGCGGAATGTGGGCAGAGCCCTCTCCGCTCCTCTGAGGCGGGAGCTCTGGAAAGACTCCTTAGGGCACAGGCCCAGCCAGGGGGCAGCGCAAAGCAGCCTGAGAGCAGGTGGTTGGCCCTGCCCACCTCGACCTGGAGGTGTCCCCTCCCCAAGGGAGATGGCGTGACCCTGCAGGCCGGGCCTCGGGCCCCCTCCTCGAAGGTGTGAAGGCCTAGCACACGAAGCCCCTTCTGTGTGGGTGCGGAGAGCTGCCAGACGTACAAATAAAAATACAAGGCACCGCTTAAATTTGAGTTCCAGGTAAACAACAAAGAAGTTTCTAATCTAAGTATGCTCCCAAATATTACATGGGACATACTTACATTAAAAATTATTTCAAAATTATTCTAAAATTCTGAAGTTACTATACTTATATACTAAGTTCCAAATTTACTATGCCAAAATCTTTAGTGTATGTCCCAAAATGTTGTTTAATAAATGTATTCATTGTTCCTCTGGATTTCAGATTTATCTGCTTCTTGTGTTTCGTTTGGAAGCGCTATAGGGGAGTGAACTTGGAGGCAGAGAGAGGAAGCGGGGACCTGCAGGGACCTGGTGACTCTGGAGAATGAGGGAGTCGCACCCCGGAGAGCCTTCCGGTGCCTTCGTTGCGTGGTCTTAAAGCCGGGAACCCTCCCGGTGCAAAGGTGAGCTTCTGTTTCCCAGGGGGCATCCCCAAATCTAATTCTGGGTCTGCAGTTCCAGCAGCTGGAAATGATGTGTGGGTTAAAAGCGAGTGGGAGTTTGTCATTGTGTGGTCGTTTAGTCTGGCTTTGATGCTTTGCGAGGCGGATCGCGCCTTCCAGGCCCAGCTGCTTCGCCGCTGTGTTCCTGTCTCTCTGGCTCGCTCGCTCTCTCCGCCCATCCTTCTCTCTCTGTTATAGGCTTGCTCAGGGAATGCGCAGCAGCGGAAGTGCCTCTTGACAGGTGACCAGAGGCAACCAACATCCTGGTGGGTTTGGGGCCGTAACACAGGGGCCAGAAGGGAGGAGGCTTAGAAACGACACAGAAACAAAATCGAGATGGTGGCAGGGTTGCAGGGAAGGGGACTGCACCAGGGATTTCTGCTCTCCTTGGATTTTAGACATAATTATTAGGCCTGTTCCTCTCTAAATCAGGCAGTGCGCCGAGTGGAACTGCACCAGCTCCCGAATTGGCCCAAGCAGGCCAGCTCTGCCGCCTGCAGCTTGGGGAGCCTGGGCTTTGTCGGCTGCCCCTGGGCACAGTGCTCACAGCGGACTTGCAGGGTGAGGGCTGGAGGGAGTGCCCGGCCCGTCCTTTCTGTGCAGAACCTGAGGCTGAGAGAGGCCCAGTGACTTGCTCAAGGTTACTTGGCTGATGAGAGGCAGGTCTGGGAGTGAGTGGGACCCTGCTAGCGCAGACCCCTATCCCCATGCCCTTGTCAACTATTCTGTCCCATAAAACTCTTGCCTCTTTTAACCTTTTACATTCTCCGCCTGCTGGGCAATCCTCCCGCTCCTCTGGCCGCCGCTCAGGATGCTGGCTCCCCAGGGTACCTGGGATCAGACTTTGGGAGGGCTCCTTGCGGAGGAGGGATGCGCAGGGAGGGATGCGCAGGCAGTGCGGGTGAGCCAGGGCCTCGCGCACAGGAGGCACTCAGGGCTCCTAGCTGGGCTCCATATTACTGTGAAGCGCTTAGCCACAGTGCAATGCAGTCCTCACCTTTATTTAAGCATTTAGCGCCAGGAATGGAAAATACCTGACAGGTGCTCCGTAAACAGTAGCTTAAAAAATGCCTCTGCCAGGGCTCCTCTCAGCGGTCAGACCCAGAGGGCTGCTCTGAGGATAACGGGATGAGTATGTGCCATGTCCTTAGCATGGCATCTGGTATTCATTCAGCAGGCATTTAGCGAGCACCTACTGTGCACCAGGCCCTGAATGCAGAGCTGCGGCAGAGAGCAGAGCTGACGAAGCCCCTCATGTCACATGGGTTAGAAGGGAAGGTGCATTAGTGAGAAGTGTGGTGTGCTCAGTGGCTCCCAGGCCATGGCCGCCCCATGCCCCACGGCGGAGGACCGTCCTCAAGCATCTGACCTCTCCAAGCCTTGGTTTTCTCTCCTGTAACCCGGGCGAGTTAAGAGACCCTGCTTCACGGGGTCACCGTGAATGTTCGATGAGTTATAGGTGTGCATTTCTTGGCTGGCAGCAGGGAAGGGAGAGCTGTGAGTATTAGGACAAAGAAAGCAGGGAAACACAATTGGGCAACTTTAGGTAGAGGACGGGCTAAGCTTCTCAGGGGAGGTGATAAGAGAGAAGGAGGGCACCGTGTGGGTATTTGGGTTGAGATGGCTCTGGCGGGAGGGGGAAGAGCTCAGGCAAAAGCCCGGAGTGAGATCACGGTTTTCAGGTTCCAGTTCAAGGCTGGGATGGCTAGGGCTTGGGTAGCAAGAGGAGAGCTACTGCTGAGACAGGGAAGGGCAGACAGTGAGGAGGGGCTCTGCTAGCTTTGCCTTTCGCCCCATGAGGGGTGGGAAGCCACTGGTTTTGAGTAGGATGTGTCAGGGTCTGCTTTACTTGGAGACTCATTGGGGTTGGAGAAGGCATGTGGGGGTCACCGCAGAAGCAGGCAGCCCAGCTGGGAGGCCACAGGGTCCAGATGAGAAGTGACGGTGGCGTGGAGAGGGGCATGGATGGTGGCAGTGATGAGAGGTGGTCAGATCCTGCATCCACTCTGAAGATGCAGCCAAGGGGGCTGCTGACAGGTGGGATACAGCATGAGAAAGAGAGAAGTCAATGGCGACTCAAAGACCTGGGTCTAAGTAGGTGAACAAGAAGCCGTTCACCTCCACGGGGCAGGGCACAGGGTACCTCGATGGTGATCATCAGGGAGTGATTGATCTATTTTAAGGCCCTCGCATGCCCTTTCAAGCCCCAGCTCACTGGGTAGGTCAAGTCAGCCTTCAGGAAGGCAGAGGATTTTAGTCTGAATGAAAACATCAGGCGAGGGCAAGCAGGAAGCAATACTGTCCAGGAGGAAGTCACTTCATGCCCATACCTATAGAACACTCTACTTTCCAGGAAAACATGAAAAGCTGTCAATTGTCCAAGACTGTGTCCTTGTGACTTCTGACTTCGAAATACCAGCTTTAATAGTTCATCAAGTTGTGCACATCCCAGATAGGTTGAGAACTTGCTCTTTCTCCAACCCCATTCATATTTAATAGAGTCCAAGGACAAACCTAACAGGGTGTTTGGAACTTTCCATACAAATGTCACCCTCTCTGGATGGTGCTAATCAGGAGCTGAACTGTGTTTACAATGTACATGGCTGCGTATACAGGTGTGTGTAAACCCACCGGAAAGTTCACTGTCCTCTCCACACCCAGGTTGGTTGAGCTAAAGTTTCCTGAACATTTCCTAAACCACGGAACAGTAAAAGGCAATTGACTACCAAAACAAAACTAAACAAAAAACTTCTCAAAAAGTAGAGGAGTCTTTGTAAATGTAAATTGAGGCTATGAGGGAGGGTGGGCAGTGGAAAAGGGTCCTCACCCCAAGGGACTGCACCCAGTTAAATAGGGCAGGACTTCTGTGAGGTCTCCTCACACTGTGGGCGTGTCTCCTAACAGGGAGAGCCCGTGATAAACACGAGGGATTGGCACTCGACCCACGCCAGTGTTCGTCGTTATCATTGTCCTGATGGCTGTCCCCTGCCAGCCACTGGTCCACACTCCTCACCCTGTCTGCTCCGAGACCCACCACAACCTGCAGGGGACCCATTTTGCCATCACTGGCCTGGGTGCCTGTCAGGGCAAGCATTTTTCTTCTAGGCCGCACGAGTTCCCCTCAAAATCCTTTCGGACTCCCTGGGTCCATTTGGTAGCACGGAGTACCCTCTTCCATCTCTGTACAACATCTCATTCAAGTTCAAAACTCAGTCATTTATAATCATTTGGCAAGTTTCATTTAAAAAGAAAAGCCATTTAATGAAATATTTCCGTTTAAATACCAGCACATTAGATTTGCAAAAATGTACCCATCTTGAATATATTTAAGCAAAAATCAATAAAGGTTAATAGCATATTGCTAGAGCATTGCAATGACAGAAAGCCAAATAATTCCTTTTGTAATTGAATAGTGTCACTGGAGTGTGGGAGGAAATCAGCAATGACATTTCTACCATATCTGTTCAAATGGTGTGTGAAATTCAACCATTGGGCTGTGATAGCCACATACAATTCACATTTGACTAATTGGGTGCAATTTCCCATTTTTTAATAGGAAAAGGGGATGGCAAGGCAATTTTGAGAGGATTGAGGACGAAAGGGTGGGGGTGAATCATGTAAAGATAGCAAAGTCTTTAACAACAATGTAATTTTTAAAAAGGGATTTAATTGGAACCTATTAGGAGACAAGCCGGCTGATTTGAAGGACAAGATTAAAAATATTTCATTAATGCACATGTGACTTAGGGAATGGATGTTGAGGAAATTTATCATTTTCCTGAGTCACTTGCTGCCCAGCGCTTTCTCTAGGGCTAGGGGACTTACAGACTGTTAGGGATCAAGAGCTTTGTTTCTTTCTGGCCTCTGTCATTGACATCCCCTCCTCCCCAAGTGACGGATATCTGTCCTTATTATTGAACATCCCTTTCCCCTCTTCCTTGTTAGCACCTTGAGCATTCTTGGGGAAACCACACCTCCTCTATTTTTGGTCTTGAATTTGGAGTCAAGATATATCAATAGCCTGCCTCAGGCTGGGCCCTGATTGGCTAAAACCAGTTCCATCCCCAAGACACAGATTGGCTCTGTAAATGGGCACATTGCCAAGCCCACTTCCAAAAGATCTGACGGACACGTATCTCCTTGTTCTGTTCACTGAGAGCACCTAGAAGCGATGACACCAGTAGCAGCAAGCACACCCAGCGTCCAGGCCTTAGTTTCCAGCACTGTTCTCAAATGAAGGAACCAGGGCTCCTTGGCAAAGGGCTACCCAGGGCAGGACTATGCAAGATGAGCCTGCAGGACCTTGTAATGCCAGAAAGTTGATTTAATAAACAGCACCCACAATAATGGAGGCACATAAAGAGACACAGGAGCCAACTGAAAGAGTCCCCAATGGCCAAGCGGGGACAATTTGAGCAGAAAAGTCAGGTGGTGTCAGATCATAGCCCAAAGTCTAAGAGAAATATGTAGGACCCATATAAATAAATAAATAATCGAATAATGGACAGATAAAGAAATATAGACAAATCTCTGATGTAGAACAATTCCAAATAATTGATGTAGATACCCCAGCCTCAGGGAGGGGGAGTGTAACCCCCAACTCCATAAGTGTGGGCTGCCCTTAGCAACTTCCTTCCGAAGAGCATACTATGGAAAGGGAGAGAAAGAGCAACCGAACAGCGGAGAAACCCGACACACGACCTCAGCCAGGGGGTCAAGGTCAACATCTAGGTGATAAGTCACATGGATAGTGTGTATCCTTAATATGATGTGATAAGAAGCGCACTTTACCTCTGGGGGCTTCCTCCCGCAAACCCAGGACCTCAGGATATTCAGGATATTCATGAGGACATCTGAGCCATCCTAATTGAGGGAGGGACAGCCCAGGAAATGCCTGAGCAGGACTCCTCCACACTGTCAGGTCCTTGGCAAACAAGGAGAGTCCGAGAAACCGCCACAAG